TATATATATATATATATATATATATAAATATAAATAAAATAAAATAAATTACTTCGTTATCATTATAAAGAACAAAGACAAAGCGTGCATGTTCAGACAGAGAAAAAAACAGCAGCAGCTGCAGCAGCGCCTCCTTTATATTTTTTATTTGCTTCTTTATGCATGCGTTTGTCTCCAGACAAACAGCAACACGACGAGCAGCAGCAGCAGCAGCAGGAGCGCATGTTATTTCATAACAAGGAGGCTCTGCTGCTGCTGCTGCTGCTGCTGCTGCTGCTGCTGTTGTTGTTGCTGCTGCAGAAGGTGCTGTTGAATTTGCTGCTGCTGTTGCTGCTGTTGCTGCTGCTGCTGCTGCTGCTGTTGCTGCGATAGATCTCTGCTTACGAGCGCTGCTGAATGCCTGCTGCTGCTGCTGCTGCTGCTGCTGCTGTTGCTGCTGCTGCTGCTGCTGCTGTTGCTGCTGCTGTTTATCCTCGGGTTCATCAATTTGCTGCTGTGTCTCCTGCAGCTTCTTCGGTCGTACGAGGAGCTTGAACTGCTGCTGCTGCTGCTGCTGCTGCTGCTGCTGCTGCTGCTGCTGCTGGCCTTCTGCAAAGGGTGCGAGAAGCGGGGGCTGCAGCAGCAGCTGCTGTTTTGTTTCTATTTTTTGTTGCAGTGTATGTATAGCAGCAGCAACAGCATCTGCGTTATTGATTTGTTTTTTTATTTTTATTTTTGTTTGTTCTGCTGCTGCTAGCCCCCGCAGCAGCAGCAGCTTTTGTTTCTCTGTCTCTTCTCCCCCCTTTTGTAGGAAACCCCTAGCTTTGGCTATGTCTGCTCCTTTTGTTGCTATCACTCCTGCTGCTGCTGCTGCTGCTGCTGCTGCTGCTGCTGCTGCTGCTGCTGTTGGTGTTCTTGGTGTTGCTGCTGCTGCTCCTGCTGGTGCTGTTGGTGTTCGTGGTGTTGCTGCTGTTGCTGCTGTTGGTGTTCGTGGTGTTGCTGCTGCTGTTGCTGCTGCTGTTGGTGTTCGTGGTGTTGCTGCTGCTGTTGCTGCTGTTGCTGCTGTTGGTGTTCTTGGTGTTGCTGCTGCTGTTGCTGCTGTTGCTGCTGTCGGTGTTCTTGGTGTTGCTGCGGCTTTTGGTGTCGTTGGTGTTGCTGCTGCTGCTGTTCGTGGTGTTGCTGCTGCTGCTGGTGTTCTTGGTGTTGCTGCTGCTGCTGCTGCTGTTGGTGCTGTTGCTGCTGCTGCTGCTGCTGCTGCTGTTCTCTTCGTTGGTAGGGGGGACCCTAAGGCGTAATCGTTTCCTTCTTGTGGGGGACTCGACGCAGCAGCAGCAGCAGCTGCTGCTGCTGCTGCTGCTGCTGCTGCAGCAGCAGCAGCGGGTGCAGCAGCAGCAGCAGCAGGCAGCAGAAACTGTTTATTTTTATTATATTGTTGCTTTAATACGCGCCAGGGGAGGCCCCTTAAAGAAGGGTTCAGCAAATAAGGAGGAGACCGAGAAGAGGAGGGCCCCCATGGGCTGCAGCAGCAAGCAGCAGCAGGCAGCAGCAGCTCAGGCACATCACCCCCTCCTGCTGCTGCTGCTGCTCCTGCTGCTGCTGCTGCTGCTGCTGCGGAGGGGGATGAGGAGGGTGCAGCAGCAGAAGGAGATATTGTAGCGCCAGGAATAGATGTAGAAGGGGCAGTCGGTTGATAGTTTGCTGCTGCTGCTGCTGCTGCTGCTGCTGCTGCTGCTGCTGCTGTTGGTGCTGCTGCTCTTGGTGCTGCTGCTGCTCCTGGTAGTGCAGCAGCAGCAGCAGCA